AGGATCTGGGGAAAACAGATACAGAGAATCCAAGGTTTATGCTTCTGCTGTTCTGAGAAGCAAAAATACCTGCATTAAAAGCAGCCTTTGGGCAAGGATCAGCACTGTACAGAAATTCTGAGTAATCATCTGGAGTCTTAGGACCAGCAAAGAAATGAGTATCTTTCCAGCAGAGAATCAACTACAAAATTTTCTGAGATAGACTTGACCCTTGTGTCCAACTTGTTGTAAACTAGTGTTTACAAAAGGTCAGTGAGGCCTTTGCTATGGCTTGGACCACTACATTTCATTCAGAAGGATGCTGCAGATCAGACACTGGAGGTTATTGTTCACAATTGCTTGGAGATATTTGGGTATGGTAAGTCAAATCAGCACATTCATCTCAAGTCCCTCACTCACAGCAAAAACAGAGGGCATTTAGTAAGGAAAAGTCAGCTCTAGTAATACCAAAAAAAAACCCTTCAAATAACTTCAAAATTGGGGTTGGAAACATTGCCAGAATGTCTCATGTAGACTGTCTCTCAGGTAACAGTTCTCCCCCTCTGAGTAAGCTTCCTTGCTTGACTTTATCTCCTACCCTGTGAATGGTCAAAGACTTGATGGAAACAAATGAGAGACACATTTCAAGCTATTACTGTGAAACCAAGAGAAGAAAATGAGACATGTGAAGTACAACTCTCATTAAAGTATTACAGCATCATTTTCCAGTTTTCCAGTTCAAATTTCTTCTGCAGATTTACATCCTCTGGAATGAAAAAGAGGAAGGAGAGCATTCTTCTGTCAGGTTCATAAGTGACTAAGGCAAAGGTGAAAATAAGAAAGCGTTAAATTCAAATGAATAGATATACCAGAATTTGTGTGCCAAAGATTCTGGAGATTCAGCCTTAGCCTTTGTTAGAAGCTTTGGACACTTTGCAGCTTACTAATAATCTCACAACGAAATCATGTGCCCATGGTTGAAAAATTGAAAAGGCAAGAGAAAAAACCAAAAAGCAAGACTCACCAATTCGATTATTTGTGTGGTCTCTGACTCGAGAATCGATAGGGCAATCTGGTGCATTCCCATTGCTCTGTGTCACTTCACTCAGACTCAGGTCAGGACTATATGCTTTTTCCGTGCTGCAGACCAAGTTATTGTTGGCTTCCAAAGGGACGGTGCTGTTGATTAACTCCTTCTCTTCTGGCCCACCGTCAGAGGTCAGTATGATCTTCTGTCAATACAAAGCGGAGAGTAGAAGTGGAGTGGATGTAAAACCAACACTGTGAGGATTGCATAGGTCTACAGACTCCTTCTGTTGCAGTCAGAATAACATAATGTTATTCATAGCACCACTGTCACAGGGAGTAAAAAATTCCAGAGTGCCTACCTGATATAGAAACTTACGTTTCTTTGAACTAAGTTCCCGCATCACTTAAGGCCATATTTAAAAACAGCGTTTCTAAGCTAAATTCACACATTTTCAATGACATTCGCAAGAATGTACCTCGCTTCCACCGAAATCCAGTTTCCTGGATCTGCTTGGATGCTTTGGTAAATTCCACTGCCTCGTCTGCAATTTAGATGCTGACGAATCTTTGTCATGTGACTTTTTGCCACAGGTCTTGTACTGAATGCTCTGCTGCAGAGTTTGCTGTACTGTAATACAGCAGCAGCTGCATTTTAGGGGGTTGAAGCTCAGGAGCACTTTTCAGCAAAGAGTATAACATCAGTAAGAAAGATAGATGCTGGAGGTAAGAATTTTAAGGGACTTGCTCAGAAAGAACTTTAACAGGTATTTTTCATGTTTAGTTGTGAGATAAGTATCAGAGGACAAACCTGTACAGATGTGTAGTCATATGGTGAGAGAGTCAAACAGTCAAAACTGAAAATATATGGTTTAACTTCCTCTCAGATTTTGCAAAGACCTACCACACTCCTATGGAAGGACAAAACAAGCCAGAGCTTGAACTGTTTGAACCTCAAAATGGAATTGCCTCAGTAGAACCTCAGGTAGGAGAAACAAGCTCAGACTACCTATTATGTGAAGAATTAATGACAAACAGTCCTTTAAAAGACAAGCTAGAATCTAAGAGAGGCTAAAGATCCTGCATTACAAATTTCTGATGGTTCCTAGCTCTGTTTCTGTTTCCACAACGTTGAAAAAAAAAATTAAGATTTTGAAATGTGCAGTTTAAAACTCTTGCTCATGTCTGACTTGCTATAAAAGCAAGAGTGGAAGCTCCCCACAATTCAGGAATTAGCAATGACACACTGAAATTATGATAGCTGATTGCAACCAGATTTATTAGAATAAGTAGCATCTTGTATGTGTGGTGATGTACAACATTTAAAAGCAAACTGATCTAAAAAAAAAAAAAACAACAAAAAAAAGGAACAGTCTAAAGAGTGTTTTAGCAAATATGGACGTTTAAAGATACAAGCCTAATAAACTGGGAAGACTCAGAGGATGCAAGTTGCTGTAATTTCACTGAAAGTGGGGGAATCAAACAGAGCTGTGATGATTTCAGCAGCTGAGGATCTACTTTCTGTTGTTACCATGTTGACTGATGTTCATCTTGCTCATCTGCAAACTATAATGATAAACCAGAAGCTGGCCCTGCTGGAAAGTCTTCCAGATAAACAACACTCACTGTGTACCCATATTGCAGTCGTGCCAAATCCTACAAAGAGGGAAAGTGACTTGGAGGGAGACAGAAGAAGAGTAAAAATCCCACTTGTGTGACTGGAGCAGTAAGATAAAACAGGACTGACAGACAAGTTCTCCCAGAAGGTAGAAAAGGCATGTTCATCCTATGATTTTGGACCTTGTCCCATAGAATGCAACATGAACAGCATAACACCAAACCAAATACTCCCTTCACAAGCAAGACTGGCACCATCACATTATTTAATACCACATTAAACAGCCCAAGACATGACAGTAGCAAGTCCTAGTACATCTCATAGCTACACTTAGAGGATCACGTGTTTTAGAGGAAAGTCCAAACAAAAAGGCTGGCACAGGACATTTAAAAATATCATTATTTACATTGGAATGGAAAGTGATCTGTTTTGGAATATTGTTCACACTTACTGCACATTTGCTCACTAGATCAGAACCTGCAACGGAAAGAGGAAAAAATTATCAGAAGAAAATTCATAGCAACCACAAGAATGTTAATATTTGCTCTGAAATATCACCTAACCATGTCCTAAACTGCTGCCCAACCCACCTGCATTATGCTTTCTTTACCACTGAGGGCACACTTACATGACACGGCTGCGATCAATCAACAAGATATTGCTGCCAAGACTGTGAGGTCCTGCCCTCCCCAAAGCCCTTGGTGGCCATCCCTGTCACTCTCCTCACATGACAACTTGTATTCATCTAATGAAATAATGAACTGATTAAACTTCCTAGATAAGCAAAGACAGGCTTATTTAAAAAAAAAAAAAGTTAAAAAATGTTAATAACTTTCTACTGAATTAACAAGTTGGATCAGTTCATCGTGTGGTCAGATGAATATTAAGGGGATGAGATCTTATGCAAGGATGGAGGAAGGGAATGCTGGAGAGAGAAGAGAGGTGGGAAGAAGGCAGTGTACAGTGTCCTTCTGCTGTGCCATGGAGCTAGATCAGCTCAGGCCTACTACCTAATTTCACCCTGATGCACCATCTCTAGTTTCAATGCATCAGCTCTATAACAGATTCTATTGCGTTAAGGCGAGTGAGGAAGCAAAAATTCCATTCTGAGAAAATTAAGCTGCACACAAGAGGTGTTAAATCGTACCCCTGAATAAATGAGTAGAAAAAGCTCTGACGTGTGGTGACTGGGAGAACCTAACACAACAGAAGAGAACAGATCAACCAACGGATACGGAAGTGCTGAGAGAGGATTAGTTAATTGGGCAGAAGGTGTGTACTCCAGGGGGTCTGTGCAGGTTGCCATGGCTAACACCCGCGTTTTTTGGAACACGACTCCCACATCTGAGTGCCCAGCAATGAATTGGGCGTTTTTTCCAGGGAAGGCTCCCTGCACTGACGCATGGCGCAGCCATCCAGGGGCGGCGGGGACACGGTGCCACCTGGTGGCTTGTCACATCCTGCGCAGGACAGACAGCGGGACGGGCCCTCCACATGTCCGCAGAGACACACATTTGACACAAAATGTTCCAAGTCTTAATTTAAAATTCCATAAAAAGGTTCCATGCTAAAACTATCTACTTATTCTTTAGACATATGGATTACACAATTCCTGGTCCATCAGTTGCTCACCTTGAGATCTGAGCCCGGATTTGTGTGAAGTGACGGAACGCAGATGTGCTGATAGAAGAAATCATGCATTTAGCAAAACTCATCATGGAGCAAACAGGCTCTAACAGCTTTACCACACTCACAGCTCTACAATCAACCTACAACGTGCACATCCTGCTTTCTATAAAAGAGGGAATGTGGTTCCTCAGGCACACCCCACGTGTAACTCTAGGCAAAGCTACTGAGAGTCCGTAGCAGTAAAAATCACTCTTCTTCTCATGCTCAAAGCCCAATCCTATCCCAGGATCCAACAAATACTCACAAAACACTTCAGGTGTCATTTAATATTAGTGTTTTTGCTGAGAGAAGAAACCACCAGTTAACCCTTTCCCCACCCATCTGGTAGTATCTTCCTCCATAAATGCATGACTGCTTCAATCTTTCTCTCATGTTCTCCAACACACTGCATGAACAGTTTGCCTAGAACCCTTATCTGGCCTGCCTCCACCAGGCAGTAGAAAACATTCTCCTCCCCAGTGACCTCCACAAAATTTTGCTATATTTGAATTCCCAGTTGGCATATACTTGGAGATCAAACAGCATGCTATGTATTACAGCTTTAAAAACTCACGCTTTCCTTTGAGGATGAGGATCTGCTTTTTGCAAACCTTCCATTTCCAAAATAACAGCATGCCTGCAAGCAGCACTACCACAGAGAGAACCACTCCCCAAAGAACTTGACCTACAGCACAGAAAGGGAAAGGCTAAGACAAGGCCGAGGGGGAGCTATTCGTAGATCTACACGTTTGGACATAGAACCATGGACAACATTTCACAAGTTGTAGGGGATTTGCAGCAAGCTCACACGTAAAAACTGCATTTATCAAAGATATAGTCAAATAAAACATGCTGGACAGAGTAAATCTTTGTTACCTCCCGTTGTCACCTGCCCCTTGGCTGAGGTAGGAGAAGTGCCAGCCAGAGTTTTCTCCTCAGGAGTTGAACTGGGGTTTTCAGTTGTCACGACACTTAAAAGGATATTAGCAGTGGTCACCAGGTTTTCCTCAAACCTCCTTAGGTCAGAGTTATTTGTTTCATTGCTGAATCTCATGGACAAAGTGCTTGGGGTGAGGTAGGTGGGCAACTGGTCCAGGCAAACCTGATCGTGTGTGGCATTTCCTTTGCTTAGTGCTACTTTGTTTAACTTGGCACAGCTAGGGAATGAAAGTACAGTGTATCAGCGCCAGAGGAAACTGCCACGCTACAAGATAAGAGCATTTTCCATATGACAAACATCTCTTCGGTCATCTTTATACAACCTGCACTTATTGCTTTCAGTGAAAAAGTCATTAACCTTCTTCTTACCTCTGTGGCATTAATTCTTGACCTGGATGCAAACCTGATACTCACATGCATCCCACTGTACTCAGAAAACTAAAAATGAGGCGAGAGAGATTCCTTACCTCCTCCAGTACAGAGCTGTGCAACAGGTATAAAGACAGGCCTCCTAAACCCTGCACGCACGCCCAAAGCTGTGCCATTGCCTCTAAGATAAATGTGTGTACTTTGCACCAGAAGTGACAGGTGTCCCTTTCAGTCTTTTATTAACTTTAATTAATTAGTTAGTCACTTTAAAGAACTATGGACTTACTCTGTGTGAGGCTTGCAGATGTCGGTGCTGGAGTTTTGATCAGAGAAGGTCCCAGCAGGGCACTTTTCACAAGTAACATCACTTATAGAGGTCCCTGAATAAAAATAATGGCTGAGGACCGACCAACCAATCCATCAGGTCCAGGCCTACAGCCAAGATCAGAAAAGGTAATCTAGACAGGGAGGAATTCCTACCTCTGACTTTGACTCCAAACCCAGGCTGGCAAACCGTGTGCTGCTGGCATCGCGAGCAGGTGTACTGAACCGCAGTCTGGCAGAACAAGCCCGGGCGGCACTCACACACGCGGCTAGAATTGAAGGAGCAGGGCTTTTTCTCCACAAGGTCGGATTCTGCGGGGAAGAAACAGATGTGGTAACAAAGGATCACCCTGCAAGGAAAAGCAAAGCAGGGACCAAAGCTGAGCAACACTAGTTCAAAGGCTCAGGAAGCAGAACAGGCTGCTGGCGCTCTTCGTGATGGTAACTTAAGTCATGGATAATTGGAGAAGCCTGTAGGCAACAGTTCCTAATATAAGACAGAAAGCTGAAATCAGACTTGGATAGCACTGGATGAGAGAATTTTTAGGTAGTCCCAGGTCATACAGGAAACAACACTGACTATGCACAAGGCAGCATTCCGCTCTATAAATCAGTAACCAAGGATGGATAATTTTGCTGCTGGAAATTCTAAATGAATAAAATATAAATCAAGTGTAAATAAAATACACAGAATATAACTGTGAGGCCCGTGTGAGGGAAAGCAAACCTTTTGCACATGAAACACAAGCGTCACATCGTGGCTTTGGGAATTCTTCATTCACGTATTGTTCAGGTCCGCACGTCATGCAGTCTTCACCAGGGTCCTTAGGACATGCTTTCTTTTTAACGTAGCCTGGAGAAAGACAAGCAAGGGATCACAGCTGTCCTGCTGCAGCAACACTGAACATGTACTACCCCAGTCAGTAAGGATCGTTGCAGAACGGGCACACGGCGAGCTGTTGGCTGACAAAAAAGACTGCCAAGTCTGCAGTAAGGGTGATCTTGCCTTGCCATTACTAAGTTCCCAGTCAATGGTTTTTCAAGTTTTCTTCTGGACTATAGCAACCAAGTACTGATATTTTGCCACCTAAGGCATAAGTTTCCTTTTACAAGCTGCCAAAATCCTTAGGTGCCCATGGATTCACACAGGGACAACGCCACCTCCCATGTTCAGAAGGGGCAGTTACAAGACAGTACTTCTTGAGCTGTGCCCTTTATAACCCCAGCAGGTTTGCAGTAGGTTGCTTTCCGAGCAGTCCTGCTAATTTTGCAGTTGTCTTGACAGTTGTGAGATGGTTTAATTGTCCAGCTGTTTTCCTTGTAACAAATCAAATTACATACGTATGTTTTTCTGATGCTGGATGTATACGCCATACACTTCCTCTGCTCAACACTTCCAACTCACCTGGACTCATTGCTCACAGTTTGCAAGCACAAGACCCTGGGTCTCGCAGACCATCTGTGTATGTGCAACATGCATGAAGTTGAGCAGCTGGCTGAATGAGATGACTTCTGGAGATCTTTGCCAAACTTAAGCTATTCTATGACTCTATGTTTATGTTTGGTAATCATTTTCTATTGATTAGCTTTTAAAAGCATCCATCTGACAAGCTAGGTACAATAACAAGCTAGAAGTACGGGAAAGGCTGGGACAGAAGCATTCCTAATGTTTCAACTCCTGAAGCAACAGATGAGGTATTCTACCACCAGCCATAGTGCCAAAGAAATTAGAAGGCACAGTGGTCAGCTGCGACGTTGTGGCCTTGCCAGGAGGTGGAAGTAACTACCAGAAGGGAAGGAACAGTGACAGTCACAGAAGCAAAAGGAAAAGATGAAGCAGCAACATAAAGATAGGAAGAGTTGAACGTTTCACAAGTGGAAAACAGGAGAGAAACAAATCCCAGTTTCAGCATCTAGCCTGCATCATGCAGTCACAAAGATTTAACCACGAGGAGGAAGAACCTGGCAGGGTAGTAACTCCTCTACTATACATTTTGGCAAGCAGGATGTAGGAGTGCAGGTAAAAAAAGCTGTGCTATATTTGGCCCACTAAATACCACCAGACAGGCCTGAATCACATCACTCTCACCTCCTCAAAACTACTTGTCTAAGATTTTCAAGGTGGGGGCTGGTTGCTGAATCTCAGCACTTAAGCTACACTCACATGCACCTGCACGTGTGTCATTTTCCCCTTCCTCCCCCAGGGACCCAGAAGCTTTAACTTCAGTTATTTGAGATTTCCTGTACACACAAGTCCCTCCCTTGGGGAATGTGTGCCTCAGATGCAGTAGCTTTGAAGCTTGCCTAACAGTGTCTTCTGGTGCTGTTCTCCACCGATCAAGTTCATAGCTCAACAAGCAGATCAAAGCCTGAGCAGC